CCGAATGAAACAGAGGATATTTCGGTCATCTGAAAATTCTTCAGGTGTCCCAGAAATAATGATAATAGCTGTAATACGTACTAACTAATATTATCAGTTATGATCCGAGCAACTTTACTATTACTTAGTACATCGGTTAGCGGGTTTATTAGTGATTTTCGGGCATATCTGGAAGCTCGGGTTACACGAAATGGCAAAATTTTGTAATTCTTTTTTGTATCAACCAATAGTATTATTACCAGTTATAATAGGCCGATTATGCGTAAAAGTCAGCAGACATAACTTTTAAAACTTAGTTCTCTCAGACTGTTCCTAATGTCTGATTACGGCGAATCTTCGTCTTTCCAACCTCAGGGAGGTTACGTCTACCCTGATCAACAACAACAACAACAACAATCACAACCACAGCAACCATTTGCTTATCAATATTATCAATTTAATAACGTTCCAAATCAGTATAGTGGTCAAAATCAATATGGCAACACTTCACAATCTGTCGAAAATACAACAGAAAAACTCGAAGAAAAAGCCAGAAAATGGCAACAAATGCAATCGAAACGATATGGTGAAAAAAGAAAGTTTGGATTCATTGAACACGAAAAAGTTGATATGCCACCAGAACATATTAGAAAGATTATCAAAGATCACGGTGATATGTCCAGTAAAAAATATCGTCATGATAAAAGAATTTATCTTGGCGCTTTGAAATATGTCCCTCACGCTGTATTAAAACTATTGGAAAATATGCCAATGCCTTGGGAACAGGTATTAACTATTTTCTTGAAACTTTATTTTACTAAAATTAATCCCTATTATTAACCGTTATCTTTTCTATTTAGGTTCGTGAAGTACCTGTTTTATATCATATTACTGGTGCAATCACATTCGTAAATGAGATTCCGTGGGTTATCGAGCCTGTCTACATAGCTCAATGGGGTACTATGTGGATCATGATGCGTCGAGAAAAGCGTGATAGACGACATTTCAAGCGTATGCGCTTTCCACCATTTGATGATGAAGAACCGCCACTGGATTATGGTGATAATATTCTAGATGTCGAACCATTAGAGGCAATTCAGATGGAATTAGAAGAAGATGAAGATGCTGCTGTCTTTGAATGGTTTTATGATCACAAACCATTAGTGGACACAAAATTTGTGAATGGTTCAACATACAGACGGTGGAAGTTGAATTTACCAATAATGTCAACTTTATACCGTTTGGCACATCAACTACTATCTGACCTCACAGATTCAAATTATTTTTATCTATTCGATCTAAAGTCATTTTTTAC